GTTACCTCAGTCAATCACCTACTCACCCATCACTGTATCAATCCGCCCTCTCCTGCTCCCGCGACAGGAAAACGTCGATTGGGGAATTTAAAAAAAAGAGTTAAAGTACAGATTTGGACTTGAAATTGTAAACGTAGTAAAAAGCTGACACTGATAAATGAGGATGGAGAAACAACACGTAATTGTCATTATATCTAGATTTACCACAACGTGGATCTACTTTGTGACGTTCGAACAGGTCTTTGTCCGACATTTTGTTGATTAGGACCTGATTCGTCGATTTCAAGTTAGACACCTCTCCTGATTTACGGTATATATTCTGTTTAATTACGAAGAATAGTGACGAAAACCACACCGAAATACAAGCGAACATGTCTGACAAACTGAAAGTTTAAGTATTTGTAAACCCACCAATCGTGAACTTTAGACCAACAAAGCTAAAAGAAAGTAAAAACATCTCTCTCTTTCTTTCGCCCTCTCTCTTTTATTTTCGTTTTCTCTCACTGTGTGTTTTAGCGATATAAGCTACTTTACCATAAAACCCAAACCCTCAAATTAGACGAAAGATGGCATTTCAGTGTGTTTTGGTGTGTGTTTTAGTGCGTGTGTGTGTTGCAGGGTGTGTACGCAGCTTTTCCTTTCATCTTCTTGTTAAATTTAGGACCGAAGCAGAAACGTTGACATCACCGAAGTTCAAGTTTGTACACTCGTAGCTGCGCGGGTTTTCATTCATTCTTCTCACAGTCACAGTCCTACAGCTGTTGAAAGGCCGATAAACAAAATGACAGGCTAGCGCTGCGTGTTAGCCCAAGACAATTACTCCGAGAACATACACGTTGACATTCACACCACATGAACACGTTTCATTAAAAAAAAAAACATTTTTCTACATATAAAGACAAATAACCATTCATGCTCAGTTCACGAAGTCAGTTAGCGGTTCAAAGCTAGTTAGCACCATGTTACCAGTAATATATTTCATTCATATGTTTATCCAAAAATATACTGGACACAAAATACTCAGTGAAGACAGCGTCACAGCTAGCTCAGACGTCACCATGATAACGTAATGCTAAAACATGGCTCTTTACTAACTAGTACACAGACCAGTAACTAGTACGGGTTCAGACGTCGCAAGAAACAACGTTTTTGTGGTCAAAGTTTAACAAAATTAATTTACTTTAACTTCCTGTTAATGGTGCTGTTAGTAATGTTTACATTTTAAAAATTTTAAATTGGACGAAAGTAGTAAAAATAACTAGTAAGTTAGTCATTAGGAAAAATGTGATGTCTTCCGATTCAAAGCAGATTGTGTCATATATATAACATTTAGGAGGAAGTGATGAAAAATGTTCAAACTGCTGACTTTAATTTGTGTTAAATAATAATGTTGTTTAAGAAAAAGTTAAAAATCAGGAAGTTGAAAATCTGATAAAATAAGACCAGAGCAAACAAACATGAAAGACCACCCCCCATTCCCTCCACATCCCCCCGGACACACAGTCTAAACAGTCTATTAGCGCCGTCTCCTGAGAGCACTAGCAGGAGATGATGATGAGGAGGAGGAGGACGAGACAGAGGAGGTGGAGGACGAAGACAAGCGGTTGTTTCCGATTGTTAACATACCATCGGACTGATAAAACACACGGTCTGTACAGCCGATGCTAACAGATGAGTGCGTTAACGGTAAAAATAAAAAATAAAAAAATTTAATAAACCTGAAAAACTGAAATTTTTCCAGATATTTTTTGGTCCGGTATTTTCAATGTGTTTTTATTTTAAAATACATAAAGAGCGACAATTCATTTTTCCCGCTTTTTTGCTTTTCAAAAAATGAAATTGAACTAATTATGATTACGATAAACAAAAATACAGAAAATACACTTTGCCGCCAAATGTGTCCAAGGACACACTGGCGTACAACCCCGAAATCTTCTGATCAGGAATGAAGCTGGCCTACAGGT